GATGCATAGGATTATTTATAGACAAAAATACACTGGAGTGAAATGTTCTTGCTGTAGTTGGAAGAACTTTGAAACGGATATTATTCCTTGCAAAAAAAAGCAAACAGGAAATGATGTGAGGATGGACTGAATTATTGCACCGAGGTAAGGTGCTGGTTCACTTGTGCTACTGGATAGCCAGGGCTTTATGCTCTGCTCTCTCTGTATTGCTGGACCTGGATCAGGAGACTGGATGAAGTGCCCGCACAAGGCAGCGCTCAAAGCCACAATCACATCACCGAGACTGCATGATACAAAAGCGTTTGTTGGCACAGCAAACCCAAATCATGTTAACCACATTTCTTTTATTTCAGTAATAAATACTACTGCTAATAATCCTTCCATTTGAATATGCAACAACAACAACTTGCACTTATATAGTGCCCAGGGTAGCGTCTCAGAGTGCTTAATGGTGGCGGAGCCTGACTACGAACGGAGGGGTTGGATGGGAGTGGGGGGGGAGGAGGTGCAGTAAGTACGGTTGAACAGGAAGGTCTTCCTTGATAAAGGGGAGAGAGGGGGCAAGGCAGAGCGATTGAGGGAGACTGTTCCAGAGTTTCAGGGCATGGAGTGGCTAAAAGCACAACCTCCGATGATATAATGCCTTATGTCGTTGAGACATTCAAAGCACTTCACAAAATATATTGTAAAATGGATTGACTGTGTATTTTGTGGGCCAATTTGCACACAGCAATTTCCCACAAACAGCCATGGAGTGAATGAACATTTTTTGTATTTGGGGGATTGCTGGCCAAGACACCAGCAAAAACTCCATTCCCTTTTCAAATGGTACCATGGGATCTTTAACATCTACTTGAAAAGATTGTAAAAATGTTGCTTCACATAATACAAGTGTTGAGTGGATGCCCAAGACCACTGCTCTTTTACAACAACAGCAAAATTACATATATAGAGCGCCTTTCACGTCGGAAGGATGTCCCAAGGCGCTGGACAGTCAGGGGTCAGGACCCAAGCATGGGAGAGTGGGGGAGTAGGGGTGAGGGAAGGCAGAGAGGTGGGAGGGTGACTGAAGGCACGATCGAAGAGGAGAGTCTTGAGACCGGCCTTGAAGGATGCAAGGGAGGAAGTGAGGCAAAGGGGCAGTGGGATGGAGTTTCAGAGTGTGGGGGCAGAGAGGCTGAAAGCCCGGCCACCGATGGTAGGGCGGGAGACATGGAGCGGGCCAGAGCCTGCTGAATGGAGGGAGCGGCCAGGTTGGTAGGGAGTCAGCAGGTCAGAGAGGTAGGAGGGGGCAAGGCCATGGATGGCCTTAATAATAATAATAATAATCCTTGCATTTGATATAGCGCTTTTCACGTCTTCTAGACGTCCCAAAGCGCTTCACAGAATATACTGTAAAATGAATTGACTGTATATTTGTGGGCGAACGCGGCAGCCAATTGCGCACAGCAATGTCCCACCAACAGTCATGAATTGAAAATGCCTTGAAAGTGAGGACGAGGATCTTGAACTCAATCCTCTGGGGGATGGGAAGTCAGTGGAGTCGGGCGAGGGTGGGAGTGATGGGGTCATGGAGACTGGTGCGTGAGAGTACATGAGCTGCAGAGTTTTGGATGATCTGCAGCTTGTGAAGGGAAGAGTTGGGAGGGCTGATGAGGAGGGAGTTTCCATAATGGAGCCTTAATGTGACAAATGCGTGAGTGAGGGTTTCGGCAGCCTGAGGGGTGAGGCAGTGGCGGAGTCTGGCAATGTTGCAGAGGTGGTGGTAGGCAGTTGCCGGTCATGACGCGGATGTGGGGGAGAAAGGACAGTTCAGGGTCAAACAAGATACCCAGGTTCCTGACTGGCTTAGTGAGGTTGAGTGTGCAGCCGTGGAGACTGATGCTGCCAGCGTCTGAGGTGCAGAGGCACTGGCGCGAGCCGATCAGGAGGGCTTCGGTCTTGCTGACGTTCAGTTGGAGAAAGTTGTCCCTTGTCCAGGACTTGATATCGGACAGGCAATCGGTCAGGATGCCAGTAGTCCTGGAGTTCAGGATGGAGGCAGAGAGATAGAGTTGGGTGTCATCCGCATACATGTGGAAATTTACCATGGATAATAGCAGTAAACTAAGGAAAGGTCAGATTATATGACATATTAAAGTAGATCATTGGATGAGTAGAGAACACATATTTCAGCATGATTGAGCTTGGTGCTATTGTAAAACTTAAACAATTCACCTCTCAATTCCTTACATACAGTCAAGCCATCACATGATATCCTTCTTGCTTGAGCAATGGCCTTGTCCTTATTAATTGTAACCAACCACTCCACTTCCAGAGAAAATCTAACTCCCAGGTATCTAAAATAGTCTGACCCACTGAATGGTGAGTGTCTAGCTGCCACGATGTGCCTACACTTTTCAATAAATTCTGTGAAGCCTTTGAGACTTCTCAACGATGTGATAAATTGCTATATCAAATGTAAGGATTGTTGTAATCAAATAATTTGTGTAGAGGTCAAAGCTCTGACTTCCTTCATCAATTTTGTACTCCCAACAATTCTGAAAAATGCCCGACTAGATTAAGGAACAATGAGGGTGGGGGGAGAGAGGGAGAACCAGGGTATAGGGGCTGCCTCGTCTCCAACACCCACCTCTTCCTGTAAAGACTGTATATTTGTTTTCCGATCTGTGTGATGTGCTTTGAGATGTTCTCGCCATGTGTGAAAGGCGTTTTGTGTATGTCAGTTGTGTGTGTGTGCGTGGAGTCTTAAGTGAGAGGACCTGGGTTCGATTCCCGGGCAGTACAGGGCAAAACCTTAGGCAAGTTTCCTTACTTCCCACACGCACATACACACACCTCTGTTTACCTAGCAGCATGTAGAAACCCGCTTGTTAGTCAATTGGTGGATCGCTTTCCAGGGATAATAATAATCCCTTCAAAATAAATAATAATAAATTGGTCACTCAATCCACGACTATGAGTAGGACACTGTTGTGCACAATTGGCTGCTGCATTTCGCCCACAAAATGTACAGTCACTGCACTTTACAGTAGAAAACAATGGATTTGCATAAAAACGCAAAAGTGTGGTCTGCAAAAAGAACAATTTGTGACCATACATCTTTACTTTCTTTGATAGCGCTCTCAGCAATATTTAAATTGTGTTGAAGCCACTTTCGAGGATTTCAACATGAGTTTTGTTTGGCTCAGCAAATGGATCTTTAGTAAGGATAAACAACAAGGATATACCTGCAAAACACCTTCTTTGCATCTTTAAAGGAAACGGCAGATCATTGATAGTAACTATTGGCAGGTAGATTTAATTCTTTTTACTTGTCATGGTAGACAATTAAAAAGAAGTCATCATTTGGGTTTTCATCGATGACTCAAATCTTTAAGGTAAATTAAAATGTATTCATACTGATTATCAATGGAGAAGAGCCAACAGAATTATTGATGATCATGTTCTCTGCTATTTATTTTAGGAAGATAAATCACATGCAAGGATTATTATTATTATAATTAAAATATGAAATCAAATGTTCAAGCTGCAACTGTGAATGAACTGTGAGATCCTGGGCATGACAGAGCAATCGGAGAAGACTGTTGCTGGCTGTACCAGAACTGCATTTGTTTGCAAATACTCCACTGAGCTCAACAGATAATTGTTTTCCTTCAGAAAAAAAATAATGTACAATATGACTGTCTACGTCCTCCCGACGTGAAAGGTGCTATACCAATGTAATTGGTTGTTGTTGTTGTCTAAATATTAAAGTGTATCATTTCAATCATAAGTAACATCCATTGTTGTTTTCTGTTTCTCTTTCAGAAAAGAACAAGAAATTGATTCAAAAGACGCAATTATTCTGCACCAATTCTCACGATCTGAGAGTCGGATTCCTAGTTTATCACCATTTTGTTTGAAGTTGGAAACGTACCTTCGAATGGCAGATTTGCCCTACCAGGTTGGTTTATATATGAATTACTGTTATTAGTGTTTACATGATGGATTATGTTGTTCTCCTTAGATTTCCCAATTAAACAGTTGGTACTCATGGTCGATTTTCCTGGATCAGTTTTTCTAGATGGTCAATGGATGGGTTATGTCATTCCATATCCAGGTTGAGTTGGCATGTTCTCTACCAAGAATTTTTCAGTACAATTGTTCACATCCTTTCTGTCAGAACCATTTGCATCTATTTTACTGTTGTCTAGCAAAGCCATCAATTTGTTTTATATAATCAAGAATAATTGCCTAGATATCATAACAAAGCAAGTCCGAAATGGTCCAGAGATAACTATTGATCTACCAAAGTAGTAATAAAGTCCAAAACACAGGGTTATTCAAAGTACAATCAGAAGCTATAATGGGACAGTTAAAATACTAAAAATATGAGCGTGGGTGGGCAGAATTGACATTTTCTTATTCCTAATTGCTCTTATGTTTTTACTTTAAAACAAATTCCATATTTTTTCAAAAGTATCTTCATATTGTAAATGAATTTAATATGCTTTTTTTTGTTTAAAGGAGAAGTCTCTAGGGTAAGTACCACCCCTATTCATGACCCTGAATTTGGTTTTGAAATTAATACCTTAAAGCCTCAGTTACACTGCACCAAGTGCAGCAACATAAGGTGCACATTTAACCCTTAGACTGTTGGCTGGTTCCCAGAAATTCAATGCATTTTCAGCTCATAAACTAACATTTCAAATAATATTTCAATCACAAACTAATGCAACAAAAATTTCAGTAATAAAACTGCTCAAATGTCAGGTTAGCTGTATTACTGTATTAACCATAAACAACTAAAATAAATTCAAGAATGATCTAAAACAAAGGTAAATTATTTTTGAAACATTACTACTGTTTGCTTTCATAGTCCCCTTTATCCTGTTTTCTTTTTTCTATTAAATGCTTTATTTTTAGCTTGACCTTTTTGGTGCTGTATCCTATCTCTATTCTATGTTTCCTATGTTTTTATTTGAAACCTATCGTTACCTTTCTTCTTCTGTTTCCTCTTATTGTCTATTCCATTTAAAAAATGAGGCTATATATTTTAAAACTATTTTCTTTTATTAGCTGAAAACTGGCTGGTTCTTTAGCTAAAGAAAAGATGAAAGACTGCAGAGTCTGAAGACCTCCTTCCAGATATAACTAGCCTATTCTTTCATGTGAAAATCACACCAACCAGAAAGTTACAGAATCATTTTCCCATGATTAAGAGTGGTTGAATAAACTTAGAGGTAGAAGTAACAACATGTTACTGTTGCTTGCACTGTTGTTGAGTGAAAGAAGTACAGTGCCACTCATGCAAACTCAAACATATTCATAGGGTTTTGCTTTCCGGTCTCTGACAGCAGGCAAATTATATATAGCACAACAGTCAGTGTGTTTCTCCTATTACAGATCCCGAGGTGATGGAGAAAGTCAGTATTATCTTTCTAAATGTTAAGGTATAAGCTAAGTATTGTGCAGCGCATGTGGTGCAAGATCATCTTTTTCAAGTGCCTCACTAAGAGCAACAAATTGCAGATTTTGGTACTGATTGGCAATGATAAAATAAAAAATATTAAAATAAAATAATATTAACCCTTGCATTTGATATCAGAACGTTCATGTTGGGAGTACGTCTGAAAGCACTTTGCAAGATTTACTGTAAAGTGTAGTGACTGTGCATTTCGTAGGAGAATACAGCAGCCAATTTGACCACAGCAATGTCCCACAGTCATAAAATGAATAACCATTTTTTTGTATTGTTAGCCAGGATACCAGGATGAATTCCATTCTCTGGATGGTTTGACTCATTGCTATTTTGTCAAGATGTGGTGTGTTGGAAAATTGCCTGGTTTCAGTGTAGAGATAACTGAGCTGGGTCAATGGATTAAGACCATTGATTTAAAATTCAATACAATACAAACTTACATTTGTATTGCACCTTTCACACTGGGAGAATGTCCCAATGCACTGAAATATCATCCCTTTTGGGGAAATTCTTAAATTTAGCCTTAAATTTGAAACCTGTTTTCTATGGTCCTTTAAACGAACTGTTGAAAACTGGCATTCAAAATCAAATTAAATCTGGCTGACGCTGGGTAGCTCGGTATTTTCTGGTCTGAGCTGGGAAGAATGGCATCCATTCTTGCTTATTATTTAGCTATCATTCTTCCTCCTTGCATTTGTATTTTGCTGGGTGGGAGGGAGCACAATCTGCTCTCAAATCTGTGCCACAGCTTGCACAAGCTCCTGTCCTTGCTGTATTGAGCAAGCTACAATATTTTTATTGTTGGCAATGACATTCAGAGCTGACTTTCAGAGCTGCAGCTTCCAGCTCCCAGCACCAAGCCTCCCACTTGTTTGGCACAGATGAAATCAGCATAAAATCCCACATGTACTGATGTTAAAAAATATTCAACTTGTTTTGTAAAGATTGGTGTGAAGAAGTGTCCATTAAAATGGATTGAAGTGCAAATGGTGTGTATTGCTGTAAATTACCAATATCAAAAACTGGCTCCATTGCAGGCTGACTAATTGAGCTGCAGGACCCATTAAAAAATATCCATAAATTCCATTGGGCTCGCATAATGAATCAGGCATGATGTGGTCTAAAAATAATCATGCACTGCACTGTGTTTTTTTAGACCTTGGAGGACCAGAAGGACAAAACATAACAGAGATTTTGCTAAACATACTTTCTGTCTCAAAAAATAGTTCAGTGCACCTGTTAACCCTCCCAGTATAGTCTGCAGTCTGATTAACTAAAGTATTCCCACCTTCAGGTCTGCTGTTCTTTTAATCTTGTGAATGGTATACATCCAAAAATACTTAAAACTTGTTTAAAGGAGCAGTGTTGACTTGTTTTTTAAAGACACCTTTAGCATGTGGCAGAACAAATAGCCTCACCAAAGGAATATAGAGAATATAAAGTAAGAAAAAGGTAATTTTGTTAATGCAGTCTGCCCCTTTTGCCCCTAGGTTCCACCCAATCTAAGTAACGGGTGATTCCCCTGTCATTGGTAAATTTGCTGAGCTTGGTAGGAATCTTAGTCTTTAATGGTTGATGGGGTAACGCATATTGGCAGTGAGTTCTTATGTGCAGAATTTCAACCACGTTTGTCACTCAAGTTGGCTTGGAGAGGGATTACAGCAAAGTAATAATTTTATCTGGGAGGATGAAGAAATTAATACAGTACAATTTACATTTATATAGTGCTTTTCAAGTCAGGAGGACATCTCAAAGCGCTTAAACTTTCATGCTCATAAAGGTGAGGGATTATCAATGCTGAAGAAAAAACGTTTCTCTGTTTTTGCTTCCTCCTCCAGTATAAATCAGTGTCAGGTCCGGTACAACACCTTACGTTGCAGAATAAAGCTCTATTTTGACCCAGCACCAGAAGAACAAGCTTACTCTATCACATTGAATGTCATTTCATTTCTCATAACAGACAATCCAAGTGCCAATTCGTGTGGAGTTTTATGTTAATGCATCTATTGAGAACTAAGTAAACACTGACCTATAATTTCAAGAGAAAAGAGACATTTATCAAGCAGAAGCAGGATAATTACAGCACATTGTAGTCCAACTGGTGAAATTCACATGTGTTATTTTTATTGTAACTTCCGGTTTGCAATTATCAGATTGAACCTCAAAGCTATCAAAGTCAATGAACAGACTTGGAGCAAAACACAAGGAGGAAAGGCTAATTTTTGGATTTGGGATTTCAAAACCTCTGACTGAATTTCTCAAATCAGAATTATTAAAACAAGAAATCTATGTTGTGAATATCGTAAATTTGATTCCATTGTCATCTTATTTCAAATGTATTTAAAAATACAATTTGGTCAATTAAATAAATGAATTGAAGATATTAATACTGTACTCAGTCATATTACATTATTATTAAAATGCTTTTCCTATTTTGTTTTAGAATTTCTTTGATGGAAAACTCTCTCCTCAAGGAAAAATGCCATGGATTGAATATAATCACCAAAGAGTATCGGGTACTGAGTTCATTATTGAATTTCTTCAAGAAAAACTCGGAGTTAACCTAAACAGAAACCTGGAGCCGAATGAAAAAGCTGTCTCAAGAGCTATAATAAAAATGGTTGAAGAGCACTTCTATTGGTAAGGTGATGAAGATATTTTCTTCAGCAAAACGGTATTCTCTTTGGTATATTGCAAGAATAAGTGTTTTAACTTGTAAGAAAAGAGTTTTAAATTATAACGTCAATTGAAAGCCAATTCTAATCTAACATAATTCCGTGCGCATATGGCTGCCGCGTTTCACTCACAAAATATACAGTCAATTCAGATTACAGTATAGCCAGTGAAGGCTTTGAGACGTCTCAAAGACATGATAAGCCACTATATCAAATGCAAGGATTATTATTATATCAGAGCTTTGGGTACATCTTTTCTGAAGACAATATTCACAGTGCGCTTGTTGGCGCATGAATGAATGACATGATTGTAATTGGGAAAATACGACCCAAAAGATTGAAGGTGCCCATATGGCTGGTTTGATTCAGAAGACTTCACCTCAACTTTAAGGAGCTTGACTTAGTAAAGTTGGAGATTTCTCTATTCGCTTCAGATATCAGAATCCAAATTCATGGTGTATGATGTGATTTGAGATTTTACTTGCGAAATTGATTTTTATCTTCTGAATTAGAACTTAGAAATGAATTGATAGCAGCTGCAGCTTATGACAATTATAAGAAACTCGCCTGTGCTGATGCTAACGATTCTGACTCATATTCTCCCCCTCATTACTACTTTTTGACTGGTGGCATGATGTAGAGATTTATATCAAGCTGCAATAAATAGCTGGTGTGTATGTCCTGCAGATTTTCAAGTCTATCAAAAGCCAGCAGGGGCTCATTTGATGCTTATTCTCAGGCTGTTTATTTCCCAATAAATGAGCAGACCTGTAACTGCTCTCTGTGTAAATGTATGGATTCCATTCGGGTTGGATTATTCTGATTCAAATTTATGATGTGATCTTTATGAAGATTAACACTAATCTGAACTTTATATAACAGTCCATTGCTGTACAGCATAGTAAACACCATCTCTATTGAAAAAATGAAACAAAGGGCAAATTCCTGATTCTACAGTTGGAGTCTAAGTCGCAATGAAATTGACTTCCCAAATGGTATTACATCCTCCAAGAAATTTATTTGCAGCTCACTGACCCTCAACACACCACTGTACTTATGAGGTGATACAAATCATTGTCTTCTGTCCATGAAAAAAGACCTTAACGATTCGACATACTAGTGCTCTTCAGTCTTGAAAAGAGACATATCAGAGGGAACTTTATAGAGGCAAATAAGATGTTAAATAGGATTAAAATTGTAAACTCAGAACAATATTGTGCTGTGCTGTGTATTAATTAGTTGCCTCATTTGCTTACAAATAAAGTCCAAACACTTTACAGTAATCCTGTGAAGCGCTTTGAGGTGTTTTGATGATGTAATAACAACAATAACAACAACAAGATTACATTTGTATAGCGCCTTTCACTCCCAGGGCGCTGGACAGTGTACAGCATTTCAGACCCGAGCTGGGGTCGGGGGGAGAAGGGAGGGGAGGGGAAGGGGGGGTGGCCGATGGCATGGTCGAAGAGGAATAAGGCGCTATATCAGATGCAAGAATTCTTAATATTAATGCATTTCACGAATGACCTTTCTATAATCTCAACAGAATTAGAACCATAATGTCCGACATCTAAAGCTATACTAATTTCTAAAACTTCAATCCTTTGCATGACTGGATATTCATCCCGTACCTTTTCAGAAATTCAATGGACAGACATTAAGAGGTTATGATGGGATGTGTTCCGCAAGTCTACTGTTGGGAAAAGCCATTGTGTCTGTAGCCTTGCCAGATTTGTACTTACGCTCCATTATGGCTTTCTAAATGCAATGACCTGATTACATTATCCATATATTATTTCAGCATTTTAAAGATCCGAATTATGTTCTTTTTCAATTTTCCTTTCAGCAATTAAAAAGTTCAATTATCTCCTATTTTTATTTTATTGGTCAGCTGGATGTCTGCAGAAAGCCATCACCATGCTAAGAGCATCCAAACCAAACTGAGAATTCCATGTAACCCACCTACACATGGAAATTCCAGAGATATTTATTGGAATGGTGGAATGCACACCTGGTCCCTGGAGAGATGCATTCTGCTTACCTAATTCCAGAAAGTATTAAGCACAGTTTGGCAAGTGCCAAGGCTGGGGATATCACAGTGTGCGTTGGGGTACTGCTGGAGTCTAACCAGCTAAAACTGCATTAGCTTGCTATTGAGAACACTGTCCGGCAAGCGTTCCTGCTGTTAAGACCATCTACTCATTCAGGCTTTGACTTGCTGGGTTAATGGGAGCTGAATGGAAAGAGTCCATGCCCCCAGTGAATGGTCTGTCCTTCCAAGTCCTGCTGATGGCTAGGCTGGCTGTGCTGTCATTACCAGCGTGCTGGAATACTGCGGACCGTCTGGCTAAGGAACTGGACAACTGAGACCACCACAGAGGTTGGCTCAATTTGGCATTTCATTGCCAAAAATGCCACCTTGGAGCCAGTTCAGCTCCAAAGAGACCCCACTTTTAGGTTCAACCCAGTGTTAGGCTCCACCACTGTGCTTTAGATGTCAAGCACTCCAAGATGCTACCCTATGTGAAGGGTGCTATATAAATGTAAGTTGTTGTTAGCATCTAACCAGTGTTAGCATCAACTCCTAAGAAAAGATTCTTCTGGTCCCAGTTACATTTGAACTCAACCATCTCGCTATCCATTATGCTGTAATAATTCCAATGTATTATAATTGGGTTTGGGATGTTCCCTTTGGTGATCTTGGTATACACCAAGTGATCCAAAGGCAGATGTCCCACCAATTTAGATTCTACCTGCATTTGGAGAATTCCTCTGTTATGATTCCAAAGCTAATGGTGATTATAACTCTTTGTATTAGTTACCACTAATCCCCCTCTTCAAGTGTCACCCTAGTTCACTTAATAGCACTCTCACCTGTGAGTCAGAGGGTTTGGGGTTGAAGCCCCATGTCAGGACCTGAGTTCATAGACTAAGATGACATTCCAATGAGGTTCTGGGTGAGTATTCCATTGTTGGTGGTGCCATCCTTAGTTTAACTCCTCAAACTGAGTTCCCATCTGCCTGTTCAAGTGGATACACTTTGCTTTCAAATGCATTGAAACAGTAGAACAAGAAGACATAGGTTTAGAGTTGCAAAGGGAAATTTTAAGACCGACATCAGAATGTTTTTCCTTTACCCAGAGGGTAATTAACAACTGGAGCAGATTGCCAGGAAGGGTGGTTGCGGTTCGGACAGTAGACTCGTTTAAAAAACAGCTTGATGCTGTGACAGGAAGACAATTGGGTGGGTATTCTCGAAGGATGCCATCAGTAGAGCCAAAGGATATTTATCATCTGAACAAATCTTGTGCTCTTGTGAATGTTGAAGACCCTGTGACTCCTTTTAAAAAGGGAGTTTCTCCCGGTGTTCTGGCCAATCAGCCTCTAGATAAAATTGATCATTTACATCAGGGTGGTCCAACTGGCGCCCTCCCCGCCCCATTCCCCAACCCACCCTCCATTTCATCTGGCCCAACTGCTCCCTCTATAACCCGTAAATGTTATGTTCTGTTTCTGGAAGGGAAACACAAAAATGTTGATTAAGCAGCCCTCAGACAAATAGGGCACCCAGCCTTCAGCAGCCAAAAGGTTGGACCACCCTGAACATCAAGATTATTTATTGGTCATTGCTATGTGCATATTTCCTGCTGTGTTTGCCTCAAAATACATAGACACCACATTTTACAGTAAAAATCCTGTAAAGCACTTTGAAATGTTTTGATGACGTGATAAGGCGCAATATTAATGACAAAGATTATTATTGTTTATTATTATTTTATGAGTTCTTATGATTTGGGATATCCTCCCGACGTGAAAGGCATTATACAAATGTAATTTGTTGTTGTTTTTAACTTATCTTTGATAGACTTGCAAGGGGGTGTTGGTAGCAGAACACCACTCATGTAAAGTGTAGATAGAATGTAATAGAATAGAATCCATCCAACCTCCTAAAGTATCACAAGTTGTGTAAACCATTCTAAATTTTGAGGCATCCTATCATTGTAATTAATTTTCAAAATTTTGAGGCTGATTCTCAGATATTTAATTTCTTCTTCTTTCCATTAAAAGGAAATCCCTCCCCTTCCTGTTTGAAATGCAAAGCGGTTGCTGAGATCAGTTTCTTGATTTTGTTTGCGATTATTTTCATCAAATTTCATTGAAATTCCTGCAATTTGTTCACAAAATCAAAATTTCTTTATTAGCACCACAAATTTCGGTGTGCAAATATTGTATTTTCAACCTCATTATGCTCATCGACTAACATTCCAGTGTAGTGTTGAGGGTGTACTGCATTCTTAGAGGTGTCTCTTTTTGGATGAGATGTTCAACTGAGGTCTTCTCTGCCTGTTCAGGTGGGTGTTAAACATCCCACAACACTATTGAAAAGAGTACTATTCAAAAATAGTTTCTTCAAGTATCCTGACCAACAATCCCCAAACTGAAAATACAGTCACTATACTTTACTGTATATCTATGAGGAACACATGTGAAAGATTTTATATCAAATGTACGGATTAGTACGATTATTCTTAGCTTGGTGAATTCATATGGTCAAAACAACCATCACTTCATAACCGGATAATTCATGAATGGGAAAAGTTGCTAATGGAGAATCATGCCAGTGTTTCTTTTTCGGAAACCATGGAATCCACTTCTGCTGTTTCAAAGTTTTTCTGCGAATCCTTCGTGAATTACTTCCAGTTACCCACGGGATTTCCCATTAGTGAGACTCTGAGATAACACTAGGGAATCCCATTGTGAATCATTCTCTGAAGTGGGCCTGATCCAACAGAAGGATGTGACAGTTTAAATCCTTCAACAAGGCTGGCTGTGAAACAGATGAGCTTTAAGCATTTGAAACAATGCTGAGATCAAAGATCAGTTCTCAACATGATTAAAATTAATGACTATGAAACTGACTAAATCAACCAAATTAAATCCTTTTGTTTCCGCTGCTTTCACGCT